AGAGCCGACTGTTGTTCCAAAGCTCTAGACATCCTACCTTTCAAGTACTGTTGAATCCCATCTCAAAATCACTTCCATACTCTTGCTTTGAATTTAGTCTGATTTACCATATGAATCTGCTTTATTGTAAAGCACCTTGATGCACCATGCAAATCTCCAGATAAAAATATTTATATTACTACTATTACTGGTGTCATAATTCTTGAGATCATTTTGTTTTCAGCAGCTTAGAATTGCCGATGATATTGTTACTCCCACCCGACTTCGGGAAGTGTTGTTTCTAAATCCCGAGCATAGACAGCTACTGACGTCACCCTGGTTCGGACCCGCGCCCATCAAGCTCTCGCTGTGCTCGGTGGAGCGCCTTAACCGGTCACAGGCCAGTGTTTTCACTAAGGGCCGTTTGAAATCACTGCGGGTGACATTGGCTACACCCCAAGAGAGCAGTATGACAGCTCTAATACTCTCATAATCGGCACCCTGTTCAGAGATGGCCAAGTCTGGCTCTTGGGGGGGACACATATTATTCACCTGATCGAGTGATGGCACAACCGGGCTGCAGTGTCAGAGCTACAGGCTCATGTTGTGCAGCTGTAATGCTGCCCCCCCCCCTCACTTCCTGTGGCTCTACGGGTCTCAGTGCGGTGCCTCTCTCTGCCTTGTCTCTCCTCCTGCAGATGAAGCTGTGGAATAAGTACAAGGTGACCAGTATCCCCTCGCTGGTGTTCGTGGACGCTGCCACGGGGAAGGTCGTGTGCCGGAACGGGCTGCTGGTGGTCCGGGACGACCCCAAAGGTAGGCGGGAACCCTCGTGCTTCCGATCGCGTCCAGAGAGGGGAAGATGGATCGCGCCAGGTGGGGGGCAGGCGAAAACGCCTTCAGGCTATCAGACGGACAGGAATTCTGCCGGACGTGTTGGCGGCACATCTAGAGCAGTCTGGAGGAGCTGAAGTCTCAGCTCGCTGCCACCTTGTCCACAGGGAACCAAATGCTTGCAGCAGTGTTGTAGTTAGGGCACTTTTATGTGGTGCGCGTTCTGGGTCGGCCTAATCCCTGCACTTGATTGTGCTAATTTGTGATTTCACAGCAAGCGTGTTCTCATTTGTTAAGAAGTTCTCCATGAAATTGATTTGTGATAACGAGTGTGTCAGTTTATTTATTCAATATAAACTTTATTTTATGTAGCTTCTGAAAGTGCTCTACAGTAAGAAAAAAAAGTTCACAAACTTAAGATAACATCAGCACAATTGAAAACGAGTTTAGAATGAAGTAGAGGATGCGCGTTTCTGTCTTCCTCTTTGTGCCAGAGGTATCTCAGAAAGCTGCACAGACTTAAAATCCCACAGCGGCCGCAATTCTTCTCAGTGTGATAGTGTTTTATTATGGGATCACTGACAACACACGGAGAAAGGAAAATATACACTTCCACTGCGGAGACCCCTGCCCCCTGTGCCTGGGAGGGCTATAAATCCAGTAATCAGTGCTCCTCCTATAGCCCTTCATCCCGGTGCTTTTCCCTTTGGATTAACAGCCGAGACACCACAGGGAAGAGTGCTGTATGCAGGAACAGACTTGCACTGATTACAAAGCAGTTGGAGTCTCAAATATATCATTTGCATGATAAAATCTTGGATCTGGGGCATCATGGCTTTTGCTCAAATAGCAATAACACTCTGACTTTTTAATGGTGATCTTTGTGTAATAAAATAGGGGAGAGCACATGACAGACTCTACAGAGAATAAAAACACATAAATCACCCATGTGCTCTGATGATCTGTGAATTCCTATCCTATATTATTTGTGCAATTCATTAAGCTGGGGGCCCTTTCCTGGGTGTTTCCTAAGGAGGTCTGATTAATCGTCTTTTCCATAGTGTACAAAGAGTCTAGATCAGCGCACACTGGGGCACTGGAAATGCAGTGAGCTTTAAATGCCAGATGCCAGATACCCACAGGGCTGACAGAGCGCAAGGAGGGAGCACTCCTGCCTGTCGATACCAGCTCAGACTGCTGGAGCGCCGGCTTTTAGCTGGACTGGCGTTTCTGTGTCTCTCTCGCACCCCCTGATCTGTACAACTGGGCAGACGCCTCGGATGGGACATCTGTCATGATGCAGGAAAAGCTCCCTGTTGCAGTGTTTTATTGCTGGCCCTTTGTAAAAAGGGTTGTGGCAACGGCACAGAGGACCATCAATCAGTGAGATCCACACCATCGGCTGTAGCCATAAAGCCCAATCCATCCTTCAGGATCCCAACCGAACTGTTATAGCAGGGACCACTAGACTCAAGAACAGCTTCTATCCCATTGCAGTGAGCATCCTCAACAGCTCACTGCAGGGCCTCAGACTCAACACACATCTGCACTCTGCAGGTTTTATAGTCTACCATTTTTTTTTATTTTCTCAATGTCACTACTACATATTTATTTATTTTCCCACAATATAGTTATTGTTCCTGACGTCTACACTGTGCGGTGTTGTCTGTTGTACGGTGTATATCCCGAGAGATCAGCGCGATTAAGGATTCCAATGAACGTGTACATATGGCAATAAACTACTCTACTACTCTACTTCAATCCATGAAACCTCTCTGACACCTCAGCCATGACATCTGTTTCTCCTCCAGATGGAAGGCCTGGGTTTGTTTTAGAGAAGGGATGGATCTGGACAGAATCTCATCAGATTTACTTTGGTTCTGGGGAATATACGGTATCGAGAACATCAGCTCGTATACCTCGACGCGTGCGTGCATGTTTGGATTGCTTTATGTGTTGGCATTTCTTAGTGGACATAAACACTCTACTTCAGGAGGGTTTTTTAAAAAACGTTTTCAAACCTGAGAGCTGATGCTCTTTTCTTTTTTTCTTTTTAACTTTTGATTTTGGCGCTGAAAGGATTTACAAACAGAACTCGTCCAGAACAGCAAAATAAACGTTTGCCTTTGTCTTTCATTTTTGTTACGTTATCTTTATACATGCATCTAAAATAAACGATTTACGTTATGCCAGCAGGTATGGGGGGGTGGGTTATACAATTGTTTAATGAGAAACACAACAAACAACAAAATAAACCACCCAGAAATATTACTGTATATTCCGTCATAAACTGAAAAGGGTCTCAGTGGGAAGATTAAATGAATCCATCTTTCCCCGTATTTGCTAAACTTCTCTGCCTGTAACCTGAGAGAACCATTATAGAGATTTCATTCACATCATGAACCTGTTGTCCGTGCGTTGGGGATTTTGTGCTGATGCTCTTTTCAAGACGCGGCAGGTGGGAAGTCGGGGTGTCCTCCGTGCACTGATGGCTCCCTCCTTGCCTCCTCCCCTCTGCCCCAGGGCTGGAGTTCCCCTGGGGGCCCAAGCCCTTCATGGAGGTGGTGGCGGGGCCCCTGCTGAGGAGCAGTGGTCAGACGGCGGACAGCAGCTGCCTGGAGGGCTCCTACGTGGGCGTGTACTTCTCGGCGCACTGGGTGAGTGAGTGAGTGAACCGCCCAGCCTCGGAGGTCCCGCGGTC